CCCCCCCAAACCAAAAAAACACACGAATATGCTTATGTGCGCACGAGTGAACAGTATATTATTTTCCTTGATAATTGTGACTCATCTGTCGTAGAAGTGTGAAATAGAACATGTGTTTTCATTCATATAAAAACGTCGAGAAAAAAAGAGTATAAAATCTGTAATTAAAAAAATGTCGAAAAACAACAAAAAGGTTAAAAGTCAGCAACCCCACTGCCCTCCTTCCCCACACCTCGTAACAAATAGACACATTTCCCCAGCCTTAACGCGCTAACGCCCTTTCTTCTTCCTTTTTTCAATTTTGTCCTCCTCAAACACACTTTCCTTTCACTTTCTCCATTTTTCCTTCTTCTCCAATTTTTGTAAATTTTCTAAGTCCTCTTGTGATTTTTCTAAGCCCTCTTTTAAAATTCCTCGGAACAAAAAAATTACTCCATCGATTTATATTATGTCATTTTTTAAAATTTATTTGTATATATATAGCTTAAATTTTTATTTTACATGCTCTTGTATGAATAAAAATATTAATATTACAAACTTTGTAATAGTGTGCATCGAAATTAATTTTTTTTCTTAATTTTCGTACTTTATCAAATACTATCATATAAAATAAATATTAAATTTCATCTCTTAAAATGAAAGCTATTATATTATTTTGAAATCATTGAATTATTTATTTGACTATGATTTTATCAAGCACCGCATCTTCTCTATCATTTACATATATAATATCTTTTTGGACATATATATCTATAATTTATTTTGGAAGTATGGAAAGAATAGTACTTATAGCAAGACAAACCAAACTTGGTACTCCACTATTCTTCCAACCACCCAATATATAGCCCTCATTTATTTCAAACCCCCAATCCTCATCCTTTAAAGCTCTTATATACTTGTTCTTCTCCTAATACCTCATCACTATTCTTTTCAAATTCTCTTCAACACGTCTTCTATTAATTCTTCAAATTTCTGCAACATCACATCGAATTTGAAGTTCTGGGTATCTCGAGAAAATGGAGTCTGAAACCTTAAAAGATTCGTATAATGATGAGGTGGAAGTCATCGGAAAACTAACCGAAGAATTCACAGAGCAGCTAAGGATGAAACAACAGATGATAATCGAAGATCAAACAGAACAATATGATGATGATGATGGTGACGAAGAAGAAGAAGAAGAAGAAGAAGAAGAAGAAGAAGAAGAAGAAGAAGAAGAAGAGGAGGAGTTTTCTTTCGCGTGTATGACAGACGCGCCGCCGATAACGGCGGAGGAGGTGTTCTACAACGGTCAAATCCGACCCCTTTTCCCATTATTCAATCAAAACCTTCTTTTGTCCGAGGATGATTTGGAAAAATTGAAGGAGCGGTCACCGGTAAACAAGATATTTATACAAACGGAAGAAAATTCTCCGGCAACTTCCTCTTCATCGGGAAATCAAGAAATCGCTGGACCGTTTTGTGAATGGTCAAAAGATAATAAGGCAATTGAAGCTGCTGCTTCTTCTTCTTCTTCTTCTCCTGAGGTATGCAAAAAGAGTAACTCAACAGGATTTTCGAAGCTATGGAGATTCAAAGACTTTCTTCACCGGAGTAACAGTGATGGACGAGACGCCTTTGTATTCTTGAACCCTACCACAACTACTCCAGCGAAGACAGAAGAAAAAGCCAAATTCAACGAGCAAATGCTAACGCAGAAGATTAAAAAGAAGAAGGGTACTGTTGTAAAGAAGAGCGAAGGTGTGTTAGCACATGAAGCATACATGAAGAGTAAAGCTAAGGATGAAGATCGCCGGCGATCGTATCTTCCTTACCGGCCGGAGCTCGTCGGATTTTTCACTAATGTGAACGGCGGATTAACGAGGAACGTGCATCCCTTCTAAGGCATAAAAATTGGTGCAATGGACTTGGTCTTAAGATATTTTAGTTTTATTTTTTTTGGGTTGATGGAAATCTTTAATTTTTTTAATATTATAGCGTAGTTGGTTTTGGAAGATATGTTGTCAATAATTAGGTTGGTTTGATTAGATCAATATTTGCTTAAGCCTCAAGGGATATAGGTATAAGTTGGCCTTTTTTCCCCTTATTTGAGCTTTGTAAATCTTAATTTACCATTTTGGTTTTACTACTTCTTGCAAACCTTTGACCATCTATTTGGTGGTTGTATAAATAATACTCCAGGTACTTAAGTGATTTTTTTAGTCTTTTTTTATAGTCTATGATATTTAATTTTTTCAAATATAAAAAAAAAACTTTTTTTTTTAAAAGTTGTCCTTGGAGTAAAGAGTTTAAGAGTATTTGTTATATTTTCAATAAACAAATTAAGGTTAATATGGACAATCACGTTATAAATTAATGATAAAAGATAAATTTCTTAATATGTGCAAAAATATTCAAAAAAAATAACTTAAAGTGGACCGGAAAGAGTATTTACATTTGACAAGGATATATTCTGCATCCAATTTTAACAAAAGAGATGAATTAGTTTATAATTACATGGATATGAGTTATCTCTAAAGAAATCAATGCAAATGTTGGGACTCCCAAATGGGAAAGGCCATGAAAGTGAAACAAGAAATACAAAAGGAGGAAAGGAAAATGCAAAGAAAAATAGTAGATTTTCATTGATCATATATATTCTACATGGAGTCCTAACAGAGTATAAAAATGTGCTGGATAATGGGGTAACTAATGAAAATAACATAAAAGATAGGACTAAACTATAAATGCCAAAATTGCATCATGATCGAGCACTTCTTTAACACGTAAGCATCAATGTACTACTTCGCGGAAAATAAAAAAATAAAAAAATCAATGTACTACTTTTAAAGCTCAAGGCACCACCGTTTCGCTACAGCAAACTTATATAAGATGGATTCATTTAGAAAATACCAACAAATATTGATAAAAATATTATTGTTACACTTTTATCATAAACAAAGGGTCATATAGTAGATTTTAATTTGGTTTTAGATTTAGGTGTAATTTTGTTAGCCTAGCAAGGAGAAGAGAAGAACTAATCAGTGAGGCTAAATAAGGTAGATATAGCTCCATTCTGCTTTATGATGTTATTTTCTTATTAGTCTATTAAAAATATGATATATATATATATAGAGGAAAAGATCTCATAATTTTTATTTATAGATCTTATATATATGACAACATAGGTGAATCTCACATCGATAAAATATGGAAGAGATGATGGATATATAAGTAAACATGTTTTAGACCCTAATGACACGTTTAAAGTCATGCGTTTTTAGGCCCAAAGTGAATAATATCACTAGTGGGCTTAACTGTTACAACGTGATTAGTATTTTTTTTTACTTATCTTGCTGAAAATGACCACATACCTAAGATAATTTTTGCAATGGACTACAAAATATTTTTTTAAAATAATTAAAAATATTTTAATTTTAAATTTCTCATATAATTACTAATGACATGTTTTTATAATTACATTTTAAATATCAAAAGTTCTGTAAGTCCTTTTTTTTCTTTAAAGTTCCATGTTTAGTCAAACTAGGACAGAGGGATTACTAAAATTACCAAATTGGTCACGGTGACAAGAATTTTGAAACTTAGGCTGATCTATTTTGAGCCGTCAAGAAAGTACTCTTGCCAAGCATGTCGTTGTCTAATGCAAGTGTTTGGGAGTTAATTTTCACGAGCATTCTCTGAAGTATCCTCCCAATTTCAGTCAGAAAACTTCGAACATGTAGAAAAGCACATGGGCTGCTCTTTAATATTCAAATTATATGTTATACACCCCAATTTTTTCAGAACAAAAAGAAAAAAGGACCACTGCTGGAATCTAAAGTGGTTGTACTAAAATTAAAGGGCGGACAGTGTATTTATTTAAACTTCAAGGAGAGGGCATGTAGAAATATTAATTGGGCATACATGCTTGAGCCGACCATGCACAAAAGAGGAACAGAATTCCTCCGACCAAACATTTACTAGTGTAAAATTTGGCTGGTAAAAATCTTTTCTACTGTCGGAGATGATGGCATTTATTTGTCTGGGAACATAAGAAGCATCAAATTATCTTATTCCATCTGTACAATAGACTCTAGGCTCTGAATTTTTTTTGAAAGAGTTGTCCAAATACATAATACTTAGCCTTGCAATGTAGGTGAAATAGCAAAAATAGTAATTTCGTGAGCACGATTTCTAAATACAGCAATGATGAGATCAAAAAGTAAAAGAGTAAAATTGTCTAAAGCTTTGTATAAAATATAGTATATGTTCTCGCCAAAGATTTCGTGTCCCTTACAATAGTAACTGAGCTCACTATTTATAGTTATGCCTAGGGAAAAAAGGTCATAGGATTATGCCCTCCTTTAATGCCAATTATGAGAGTCATTGATGGAGATATAACGTTGAGTATAAATGCCAAATTCTCTGTAACAGACCATCACTCTTAATGCTGTAGAATATTTCTTAGTAAATGCTACCAGGCGCAGAGCATTTAATATACTTTTGTGAACGTTATCCGTTCCGGTGACAAGCGCATTGGTTGCGTTCGGTCCTTAACCATCATATCCCGGATTCCACGTGTCGTACTTTTAGTCAGCCACATATCATATCATATTTCACTCTATACAGATAGTCCTCCTGCTTTCCGGTGACATAACTTTGTGTTACCGGAAAGTTGGTAGAAATACCTTTTTGGCGGGAATTACTATAATTCCCTCTAAAGGTCTTTGACATTTGATTAGACGCACGTCTCTCCGCATTTAATGCCCCAAACACGCGTCATCCCATGATTCAACACAACTTTTGTCGATTATCGAGGTAATCATGACCATGAATTTAGCCGCCATAATTTCACTTATACGCAACTTTCTTTTCTTTTATGCTTCACAATTGCTTGAGTTTCTGATTTGCATCCTTGGTTTCCATCCTTTTCCTAATTTTCTGCAAACACAAACTCTTTACCTTCTTCTTTTCCAATGGCTTCTTCCTCCAAACGTGGTGCTTCTTCAAAGAATAAGAACAAAATCGAGGACTCCATTCCTCCAACAATGGATTCCATCATCTCAAGGAGGCTTAGTACTTTGAAGGATTCCGAAGAGAAATTTCCTACTGCTAACCCTCATACATGGGATATTAGTAGGTACCCTTCTTCCATTCGTCCTTCCAGTATTCTTGCTGTGAATGAGGACTGCCGCTGCAATAAGTTGGAAATTATCGCTCCTGATCCATCGGAGCGAGTGACCCTTCCCAAGGAAGGTTTTACATACTTTTTCACGTATCCCTTTACTTTGGGTGCATTTTCTTTGAGCAGAGAGCTTGATTCCGTGATTGCGGAGTTTTGCCTTCGCTACCAGGTAAGTTTGGCACAGGTAAGTCCTTCAGTGTAGAGGACGATCGCCTGCCTCTGACGCTTGTGCCAAGAAATTGGAGAGGAGCTAACCTTAGCTCATGTGATGAATCTCTATTCCCCCAAAATCTTCCATGGGGGAATGATAAACCTTTGCAGGCGTGGCTACCATGATTTGTTGTCTAGCATGGATGATGACAACGACCGTGGGTAGATGGAACGGTTCGTTGTAGTTGCCACCAATGACATCATTTTGACAACGACTTCATCCTTTCCGGTTGCTTGGTTGAAACCTTCTGAATTTGTTCATGGAATTAGGTCTACCTGCGGGATCTGTTGATGTCCTAGAAGAGGACGTTCTGGCTGATCTTGCTGATACAGCGAGGCTACTTCAGGAAGCACTTACTCGAACAGGTATCTCCGGGTCTGTTTCGAGTGCAAATATTTCTTTACGGAGTCCTCGGCCAAAGGATAAACAAATAAAGAGAAGACATTCCTCCGCGGTCAGGAAAAAGAATAAAAGGGCAAAGATTACCGCCCCCGAGTCATTTTCGATGGCGATGATGATTGGTCTTCCTTCCGGACCGGTCATAGACACCGTGATGATTGATGATGATGAAGAAGTTGTTTATGAGGGAGCTTTTTTACACATAAGGCACGATCCTCATCATCTCAACAGGATGCTCAACCTGTTGAGATAGTTGCAGAAACTTAAGACGACGTCTCAGTACTTTGGGGATAATATGATTTAGTAGAATATGCCAACTCTCGCTTCCGGGCCCCAATTGTTGTAACCGGTGCTGCGAGGCTGAGCACCGGGTCCCTACCGTCTTTGGTTGGCAATCATCAAATAATCAACATTGTATTGGATGCAACTGCTTCTCACTCTTCAACTCCATCACCTCTATCTCCACCTTCACCAATACCAGCAACTGCTACATCATTTCCATCTTCGTCTACTCTTCCACCAGAGGTTTCTACACCATCTCCATCGGCCGCACCTGACCATGAAGAAGGTGTTCCTCTTCCACAGTCCCCAGTTCATGGAAATTTGGGGCAAAATTATGCCGCCCCTTCTGAAGATCCACAAAGGAGAAAGAACGTCTCTCTTTCGGTCTCTACCGGGTGCAACTTGATGTCCCAGCCGGTGGAACTTGCTAATTATCTGAACAGTTTGGCTTAAGAAAAGGACTGGGAAAAGATTTGTTGAACAATGCCATGCACAATGCCGCAACGGTACGTTATTTTCTTCCTTCATCACTTCTTCTACTTTAGTATGAATGTATTCTAAGTTTTACTTCTTCTTGTTTTGTAGGCCAACTTTCTTGCTTCTGGGAGCCTTCAAAGGTTGATTTGTGATAAGGAAGAACTTACTTCTGAACAGGATCAACTTTTGGCGGAACGAGACCAAACCGTTCTCCGCCTCTCAAAATTGGAAACCAGAGCTGCTGAGGTCGATGTCTTAGAGGCTCGTCTGCAGGAAAGTGAGAAAGAAGTGGTATCCCTTAGCCAAGAAATTGCTCCGCTAAGGGTAAGATTTGTTGAGGCCAAGGCCAA